ATCAGTTCAGTACATTGTTCATGGAAGGGGGTCCACTATCTCCTCATAATTCCGGATGTGAAGTGGTCCCACCCTGGGTCCTAGGTTGAACACATTTGTTCCACATCCTCCCCATAATTCTGAGGGCAAGTGAAATGCTCCTTGCCCATTCAGTTGAGGAGTGAGGATGAATGTTCATAATTCCAGACTGTATGAGTTCTGTTCCTTTGGTTGAGTACAGTCTGGGGTGTTTCCTTTTGAGCTTCTTCAGGTGGAGAAGAAGGTTTATCGACTTTGTGGTTGCATAATTTCTCTTCGTGATTCCAGTGGTCCAGAATGCATCACTCTATAGCTACAGGTTGGGATACAGCCAATATTATTTATATATATGTAACATTTTGGTCCAATTGCCCTAGCCACCAACACAGGACATAAGGACCAAGACCCCTTAATTCCAACCCCGAGTAGTGGAACCTTGGCTACCTGGTCAGTGCCAGCCTATAATAATGATCACTCATGTACAATTCCACCCTTAATACAGGAATTGTACAGAGTGAAGAGCATACCTGTTCTGGATGTAGTGAGGTTCTCCCACTCTGGTACCAATCTTATCTTGGTACACCCATCATCTTTACAAATGCTTTCTGTATGGATAATGCCCTCACTTGCCTCTCCACCAAAATCTGGACTCCATCCACAGAAAGTGATGCTTTGCATTTGGTGGGACATCAGAGTAATTTATTTTGAATACCTCAATCCACAGTGAAATGTCAATGCAGAGATCTATAGTCAGCAACTGGAATGTTTAAATCAAACCCTTCATCAGAAATGCCATTTCATTCGTCAGTCAGAAAGGTGTTCTTCTTCTCCACGACAATGCACGTCCACATGTGGCACATTTGATGCAACACAAGATTATGAGGTTGGGAAGTTCTCCCTCACCCACCATATTCTCCAGATATGGCAACATCAGATTACCATCTTTTTCGTTCGCTGCAACACCATCTTAATGGGAAAATGTATGCAAATGTGGAAAGTGTTAATGAGGACATTGAAATGTTTTTTGCTTCAAAGCCAAGTAATTTATTTAATCAGGGCATTAACAACCTAATGTTTTGTTTTGATATATAAGTTGTTCAGGTTGAACCAAAAAAAAGTGACATTAATTTCTTGAAGACCTAATATTAAATGAATTCTTCTGATTAACAATTTAAAATGAGGTTGACTTCCTTGCAATTTTGATATGGTAAAACATTTACTTTTATTGTATGCCAGTGATTGTAAACACTGTGAAACTGCATGTGATGTTTTTCAAATCAAAACAAGTAAAATTTACAGTTTTTTTAAAGTAAAAACTTTATTGGAAAATTTTAGAAAACTGTGGGAAGACATAAATATTAATAATAATAATATACAAAATTTAGTTGTCATGAGATATTAGTATT